ACCCGTGAATGATTCGTTGGCGCTCGTGTGTTGCATGATGGGTTGCCATATACATATGCGTGATGTATCAGTACGTGGATAGTTGTATATATCAATCTGTGGATGTATGGACATGTGTATAAGTGTTATATGTGCATACAACAGGGTGTGAGTATACGAATACGTGCGTGTGTTTGTGTGTGCACATACGTGCGCGCTAGCAAGTGTGTGCGCATAAGTGTGTGTCTATGCGGCTGCATATGTGATTGTGGAGACACACAGTGAGCAATCCTTGTACTTCTTCTCTGATTTATATTGCTGTCCCCTACAAACTTATACCAATGTACCATGACTCGAACGGCTGATCTACGATCACAAGCTGCTACGAGTACTTGGTCGAAGCAGTACATAACAAGACACTTCGCTCGATAGGGTTTGCGGTTCGTGTCTTGTCTCATACCGACCACAGCGACCTCAATATTGTGCATCAGTACGCCTTATAACACAGCCCGACACTCCTGCGCACAAACTTAGCCACACATAGCTTAAACCCCTAAACCCCTAAACCCTAAACCCTAAACTCTAAACCCTTATGCTCACTATTGCACTTTAAACACCCGTGGTATCTGCGCAGAGCTCCCTGGGCCACGTGCGGGCACAGCGGCCGACACAGTAGAGACGCAACAAACGGCCAAACTAAAAATAGATTCGGATCACTCTGAGAGGAATTTGGCACTCTCCGCCAATTTCGCACCCAATTCTCAGACACAGGCACGTGCGTCTCCACGGACGAAGACACAGACCGAGGAAGCGGCTGCAAGCACAGACGAGAAGATGCACATCCGCGTGAACATTGAACTGAAGGTCGATTCTGACACTGACACCGATCTGACACTCCACGTGGACGAGTCGCCGTCGGGGCCTGCGGAGGCAGCGGATGACAGCCCACCCACACACAGTGCAACACACGAGACACACTCACACACACACACGCCACAGGCACAGCAGCCACACAGACACACACACACGCCACAGGCCCAGCAGCCACGCAGGCACAAGAACAAGCTCACGCGTAAGCACCTGAGCAAACACCACAGGACCAATGCACAGGCACACACCAGCGCGTCACCGCAGCTGGACTCGTTGGAGGAGACACAGATGGCGGACGAGCGGGTGCTTGGGAGGGTGCTGGGGACGGACATGTCACGAAGCTACAGCACTACCAAGGAATGGGTAGGTATAGGCAATGGAGAGGGTTTCCGGTTTAGGGTTTAGGGTTTGGGGGTTGAGGTGTTTTAGGGTGTGGTTTGGCTGCCGGGGTTTACGGTTGCACGGGTAAGTCGCTTCGCTGTGGGTGATTGAAAGGGATTTGTGATAAACGACACTGCGGCTCATGTGCGCTTTTAACTTATACTGAGGCACGTTTTAACGCTTTAGGGATCAATTCCTGCGTGATGTACGCATTGGTATTGGTATGTATCGTTCTAGCGTCCTGTGTATCGCATAAGCCCGAAGCAAGAACACCATCCATCTTCAGCGTGATCAGTGTGAGAGTGCACGTTTTGGCGGAGTCTTTGCGTCCAATATGGCCTACTAACGATGCCATGGAAACACTGGCTTCTGACTTTGGCTTGAATTGATGCCCAAAAACACTGTGTTTTGGTTTTGGCAGTGAGCTTCCTATTCGAACGGATGCCCTGAAAGCACTGTCTTGTGGTTTTGGTATTGAGCTTGCGTTTTGAATGTCAATGGGTTTTCCTCATTCGATAGGCAAGTGCACCCTTATTAACGCGTTAAAACCTTCCCGCCCGCACATCATACAAGTCGCGTTGGTGTGTTGACTTCATTCGTGCGCAGTCTCAACGCTTATCTCAAACGTTTATGCTTTCGTTCGCACTCAAAGGTCAGAGAGATACACCACCTGGTCCGACTCGGCATGGCCAAGACCCCTGTGTGCACACCCCAACCTGTTCTGAAAATAGAACCGATCACCGACCCAGAGGACGAACCCGAGGGCCGGGACCTGAACCCGCATGTTCTGGTGCAGTACGTGCACCCGGGCAGCGAGGGCTATGACAGCAGAGAAGACGATAAGCACGTGCATGTACACGTGCATGCACACGCACACGAGCATGTACACGTACACGCACACGAACTAGAGCCACAGCAGGAGGAGGACGAGGCACCCGATGGGCATAAAGCGGTATATAAACCGGGACCAAGTCAGGAACACACACAGGCACAAGCAACTGCACACACACACACACACACACACACACACAGCCGAGATATAGACGGCGCAGAAGGGGATGGTGAAGCGCAGGGGAAGGTCATGCAGGACCAAAAAACTGGGACAGGTGCAGAGGTGGATGAGGACTTAGATACGCAAAATCAGGACAAACCGGATAGGAAGGGGTCCAATCAGACCCAGGCGCAGGTGCACAACTCAGCGGACGCGGACGGGACGGGCGATCGCTACCATACGATCCGAACACTCAGAGACGAGATAGATGAACTAAGGCGGCTGGTTGACTTACTGGTGTCTGGTCAAGCACCCACACCCACACCCGGTGTAGGTGCAGGTATGGGCATAGGCGTAGGGACACCAGAGCACACCCCCACGGATACGCAGACAGATATTAACACAAACACGGACAGAGACACACCCCAGAGGGCCAATGCAGCCACGGACAAGGACTCAAATACACACACACGCACAGACACAAACGCAAACACGGACAATGCCACCCACCAGAGCGAACGGGCTACTACAATCACCAACGCACAGATAAATACAAGCACGGATACGGATATAGATAGCCTCACCGACACACAGATAAACACAAACACGGATACGAATATAAACACAAGCACGGATACGGATATAAACACACGCACGGATACGGATATGGATAGCCTCAGCGATACCAGCGCAAGTGTTAGTAGCAGCACATCGTCGGCACCTGCGAGTGGGAAGAAAACGCAGGCCAATACGAATACTGGAATTGGAAACGGGAATGGGAGTGGAAACGGAAATGGGAATGGAAATGGAAATGGTAATTCGGGTGTGGATAGAAAATCTAAAACGGGCAAGAAGGGTGATTCTCTTGGTAGTAAGAAAGGCGTAGATTCTGTCAAAGAAGGCGATAAGAAGCCATCCGCGGAAGCAGGTAGGTATAGTCTCTGGGTTTGGGTGTGTATTTAGGGGCATTGGTGTATGGGCGTAGGTGTGTTTGAGTATTTGCATGCACACACACACGAGCACACACATACACATCATGTATATATATATATATATATATATATATATATATATATATATATATATATACTACACACACACACACACA